CTGAAGGAGTGGAGTTCATGACGGTCACAGCTACTGATACAGATGACCCCCACACTGACAATGGTGATGTCAGATACTCCATCCTCAGTCAGAATCCAGAACAGCCAGATCCAGTCATGTTCGTCATTAATCCTGTAACTGGAGCGATTCAAGTGAACTCTGTAGGATTAGACAGAGAGGTGAGAGCAGAAGTCAGGCTTATGAATGTTGAAATAATGTGGAATGAGGTAATAAATGAAAGCTGTTATTACTGTAACGGAGAGGAACGACCACACGCCCCAGTTTGAACAGACCTCTCTAAGGCAATTAAGGTGGTTTACAGCAACAGTTACTCAGTAAAGGATAAATATGTTTTCTGTATTTTCTGGCCTGAAAAGTATCGTACATAACAAATATTTTGATTACTGCAGTTTAAAATATAAAAAAATGAGCATGTAGCAGTCATGCTATAAAAGTTATTAAAGTTGCAGATTTTGTAGCACAATTGTTTTTTAGCACTGAGATTAAAACAACATCAAATGCTTCTTAAAAGTAAAAATGTCAATGAGCAGAAAAAAAGTTTTTTTAACTGTGACAAAAACAGAAGAGTGTTTAAAAGTTTGTGTTGTAATGTTCATTTTGTGAAATGTACAGTTCATTTTATCCACAATAATTCAAATTCCCTTCCAGTGGGTGCTATTAGAACACAAGTAGCATTTTTCTGCAGCTTTGAGTGAGGAAACACACACCAGCAGTAATGCAGTATGTTTGGAATCATAAAATTCAAAATGAAAAAAAATGGTTTATTACTTTAAGCTTAATTGTTATTTAATATTTGATTTTTAATTTAATCAGCATATTAATATTACAACGAGGCTAAAAATATTATAGGCAGTAGGAACAGCAGGAGTCGCCTCAGTTCCTTTTGGAGGGACTTATTTATTTCAGCAGGCCAACTATAAAATCTCCAATCATTTCTGGAACAGAATGTAATGTAACAGAAATGTTACATTACAACCCCAGACTAAACAACTTTCTTACATTGCAAGGTCCTTTGTTTACAGACATCTGTATGTGTACTGAAGTGTTTGTATTACCTGATGGACTACCATTAAAATAAACACTAGAACTGAAATCAGCTGTGGTGTAAGGCTGGCCTACCAAGTGGTACTCAGATAAGCACTATTATACTTGTGTATTTGAAATGATTCATCAAACTTGTTGAGTCTTATTGCAAATTTTGCACAAATTTTCTAATCGTCTGTTTATTTAAAGACACAAATTTTCCAAGCCACTTATCCTTCTGGGTGGTGGGGGGAGCTGGAGCCTATCCTAGCAGCCAATAGGCAGAAGGCAGGAAACACCCTTGACAGGTCACCAGTCCATCGCAGGGCAGACACACAGACAAATACATTCACACACACATAGGGGCAATTTAATGTACCCAATTAGCCTGACTGCATGAGCACCCAGAGGAAACCCACACAGACATGGGGATTACATACAAACTCCTCACAGAAAGGACCCTGGTCGCATAGTGGAATTGAACCCAGGCCCTTCTTGCTTTGAGGCAACAGAGCTATCCACTGCACCACCATGCCGCCTGCCCCTAGTTCACTCTCCAGTCCATACAGTTTAAATGTGGAAACAGCAAAAATAGCCTGTTCTTTTTGTGCTGTCACAAAAACCAACACATCTATGTATACACACCTATTCAGCCTAAAGCAGCTATGAACGAGGCACAGTACTGTCACAGTTTGCCCACCGTCCCCCTGAGTGTGCCTGTTTCTTTCCCTGTGTTGTGGCCACGAGCTCTTTAGCCATGTGCTTTTGTTTTTGTTTTATTTCCTTTGCTCCGCCCTTTTTCCCCACCTTCCCTATTAGGATTCTCACCTGTTTGTATTCCCTGTCTCCTCCCTCTCCCAGGTGTTCCCTATTGCGTGTAGCCTATATCAAGCCCTTGTTTCAGTTCATGGTTGGCTAGTCTACATGTTGCTGTGTTGCATGTAGTGGTTATGTGCTTGCCCTGTATTTTGTTTAATAACTTGTAGTTTAAGTTGTACTCAGTGATTCTGCTTAACTGTAGCCTAATAGCTCTTTAATGTAATGTAAAAATAGACAGTTTTAACAATAAAAGGGAATAAAACATTATATTAATATTGATTAATATTGAGCTGTTTAAAATTAAATCACTTATTAGTCCTCTATCAGTTCTCTTTCTCAGTATGGTGATTATTGCCTTTGAAGCACAGACGTCCGGACACTTTGTTGGGTTACATCGTCACTGATATCTGATTATGTCAGCCTGTTGCTCAGCCCTACTCAGAGCTAAATTCTAATCAAGCATATGATCTTTGCCACAGAGAGAAACCCTCAGGGCCTTCTATGCCCTCAGAGAAGGCCTAATGATTTCAGGAGCCTAAAACTACAGCGCTACTCTTGTTTCATTGTTAAGTTTAAGATGGAAACAAGAAGTAAATTCTTGAAACATTATGTTCCCCATTAAAGTGACACAAACATTCACACAGACAACTACGCAAACTCACCTTAGCTGCCTTATTTAATGATCTTGATCAGTTAACTGCCTTGAGATTTGATAAAATATGACTGTTCTGGATATACATTATATTACACTGCTTTTATTGCACAGAAGCCTCAACAAATAAATATGATTTTTTCAGTGTTCAGTGAGTCACTCTTTACCTTTATTACAGCTTCCATTCTTTTCAGGAGTCTCACTTTCAGTTCCTCAAAGAATCTGCAGACACACCTCCAAAGTTCAGTCTAAGAAGCTGGTTGATCATTTTCTAAAGTAATCAAACACATTCAGTGGTGTTGAGGTCTGGACTCTGGGGTGGTCAGTCCATTGTTCAGCTTCTTTCTTTGATGTGTCCGTCTCCTTTTCTCAGTGAGGTTCTTCTTGACAGCTACACATCCTTTCAGACCCACAGCGCTGAGTCGTCTCCTCACAGTGGAAGGATGGACAGAAACACCTGTGGATGTTTTCAGATCTGAAGCAGCTTGATTTTCTCCTCTCTCTCGACGATGAAAGCTTTAAGTGCTGTTTATCTGATGGGGGCAGTTTTGGTGTCTACCAGGTCTTCCAGGTGGTTGTTAGGAGTCCCATTTTCTCAAAGATGGGGGCATCTGTGGATTTGATTGTAGGAAATATAACAAGGAATATTAACCATGCTATGTATCTGCTATATTACAGGTTTTTGTAAAGGGTTATTCGCTGCTTGTTTCAATGTTCTACAACAACTTTATGATTCAGACACAGTGTAGTTCATACATCACTCAGGGTGCTGAAATCTGTGTTTGTTTCTAACAACCATCTATAACTGTACTGATGTATCTACTTCATAACAGATAATCAGGCATCTAAAATCTGTTATGGATCTGTGAAGAACAAATCATTTTAAAACATAATTTCCCGTCTTTTACAAAGAAATATATTTTTTCTGACCATTAGCAGAAAATGTCAGTTTTTTAAATCCCATTTCCAAAAAAGTTGGGAGGAGGTGCAAAATGTAAATAAAAACAAAATGCAATGATGTGCAAATCATTTAAACCCTATATTTGATTGAAAATAGTACAAATACAACAAATCAAATGCTGAAACTAGAAATTTTATTGTTTTTTGGAAAATATATGCCAACAACACGTTCCACAAAAGTTAGGAAGGGGCAACAAAAGGCTGGTAATTGACAACAGGTCAGTAGAGGTATAAAAAGAGCATCTCAGAGAGGCTGAGTCTTTCAGAAGTAAAGATGAGGAGGGGTTCACCACTTTGTGAAAGACTGCATGATCAAGAATAAAGTTTCTCAACGTAAAATAGCAAAGAACTTCTGCTTTTCATCATCTACAGTACATAATATCATTAAAAGATTCAGAGAATCTGGAGAAATCTCTGTATGCAAGGGACAAGTCTAAATACCAATATTTGCTGGCCATGATCTTTTGGCCCTCAGACCACACTGCTTTAAAACCAGACATGATTCTATAGTGGAAATCTCACTGCATGGACTCAGAAACACTTCTAAAAACCACTGTCTGTGAAAACAGTTATTTTCTGCATCCACAAATCTAAGTTAAAACTTCGAAATGCATGAAGAAACCATATATAAAGAGGATCCAGAAACACTGCCACCTTCTCTGGGCCCGATCTTATTTAAAATGGATAGAGGGGAAGTGGAAAAGTGTCCTGTGGTCCGACGAATTAACATTTGAAGTTCTTTTTGGAAATCATGGACAGTGTGTCTTCCGGGCTAAAGACCACTCAGCTTGTTATCAGTGCACAGTTAAAAAGCCAGTATTCATGATGGTTTAGGGGGGCATTAGTGCACAAGGCATGGGTGACGTGCACATCTGTGAAGGCAACATTAATGCTGAACGATTTATAAATGTTTTGGCAACATATGCTGCCATCCAGACAACGTCTTTTTCATGGAAGGCCTTGCTTATTTCAGCAAGACAAGGCCAAATCACATTCATATGCATGTATTACAGCAGTATTGCTCCATATTGAAAGAGTCCGGGTGCTAAACTGGTCTGCCTGCAGTCCAAACCTGTCACCACTGACAACATGTGGCGCATTATGAAATGAAAAATACGACAAAGACTTTCAAAACAACAGCAGTTGGTGTCCTTGGTTCCCAAACATTTGCAGAGTGTTGTTAAAAGAAAAGATAATTCAGCACAGTAGTAAACATGCCCCTGTCTCAACTTTTTCGGAACGTGTTGTTGGCATCAAATTCAAAACGGGCATATATTTTTCAAAAAACAATAAAAATTTCTCAGTTTCAACATCTGATATGTTGTCTTTGTACTATTTTCAATTAAATATAGGGTTTAAATGATTTGCACATCATTGAATTTTGTTTTTATTTACATTTTGCAAAGCGTCCCAACATTTTTAGAAATTAGGTTGTAATATGATCAAAGTATTTGCAAGAAATTGCTATTTACTTTATACAGTTTCTGCGGGTGTGCTGCATTTGCAAAACTGCAGTCCTTATCACAGATAGCTTTACTCGGCAGACAGCTGTGGTTGGAAACAAGTGGTATCAACAAAAAAAAAAAAGGTTTCAGATACAGATAGCAGCTCTCAGACCAAACCATACAGCCTAAAGCTTTGGGCAGCTTCCTGATGTTTCTGAAATCTCACCTACTCCTCAGTTCTGGATGCATACAGAGTACAACATGATCGTGATTCTCCTTCTGGCTTTGCTCCAGGTGAGTAAATAGATAAAATTCTCCCTGATTTGGGAGATGGGTTTTTTTAAATGATACATTTCTATAAAAAACTTAATGCCAGATGTTGGCCAGCGGGACCAACTCGTCACCATGGCCGAAACACAAGGGACCTGACCCTGAAGAAGCCTCCATACAATAATACATTAAAATTATTATACAGTCATATATTTATTGTTATATTTATAGAGTAATCATTTAGTTGGCTACAAATGGCTACAAATCAGCAAATTAACTTTCCTACATGCATGGGTGACTTACTACAAGTGAAATATTGGAGAAAAGTCTTGTAGCATGGACACAGTGATCAAATCAAAATTCATAATTAATAATAGTTAATAATATAATTAATAATAGTTAATAATATTTAAGAAACCTTTTAATGCATTAAGATTGTAGTAGGTTCTGGGGGAAACTTTACCACAGGTAAAATATGGCATTACCCTCTTACAGCATAGGTATGGTAATAAATACCATAAAGATTTATGATCAATAAAATAATTATTCAAAACATTAAATGTTGTAGTAGTTGCTAAGTGGGGAGCTTTACTCACTACATATTATGTAAAATTCCTAAAGCCCAGGCACAGTAATGAAATTAAATCGATAGAATTGCCCTGGATTTGTGAAATGGGTTGTGGAGCTTCTACTTCATGCATTTAAGGATTTTTAATAATGTATTTGTACACAAATCTTGTACCTCATGCCAGATATTAGCCAACGGGGTGGAATTGTCAGCATGGCAGAACCACAAGGGACCTGACCCTGAAGAAGCAGCAGTGGCAGCAGCTGGTATAAAGATTTTACCTTATTTTGTGTTTACCTCACACTGTTTCAGCTCATATTTCCTGCATTAACATCAGAAAAACCATGTAAGAGTGACTAAAGTAACATTAAGGATGTTTTAAAGTCCGTACACCAAAACCTGAAGAGAAACAGAGGCCATGTAAGCCTCTCAATAGTAAATGTTGATAATTATTTGGTAATAAAACATGGCGACAACATTGGTTTTACTAATATAATAAATGCTACCATACCAGAGTGGGAGGAAGAAGTGGGGCAGGAAAGCTTAGTCATTTTCATTAATTTTGCTATTTACCCTCATTTCATATTTACCCTCAGTTCATGTGATGTTTGTTTATATACTAACGTGTTGCATAAACTTTCAATAAATGTGAAATATTGATAAGTAATCTAAGACTGATATGTAATGCTACAACAGTGCTGCAAAAAGTATTTGCACCTTACTGGTTCCCTCTGTTGTTGCAATATTCGTCACACTTGATGGATTCAAAACTTGAGGAAACACAAAACAAACAAGAAGCTCCTTTCATGTACTGAAGGAAATAGTTTTGCAGCACCTACAGCACCCATGTGAAAAAATAAACTTTACTACATCTTTTAGCAGGAACAACTGCAACCAAATGCCTTCTGTGACTGGAGATCAGCCTTTCACATTGCTGTGGAGGAATTGTGGCCCACTCTTCTTTGCAGAATTGATTTAATCCTGTCACATTGGGGGGCATTCTTTCATTCTTTTATTCTTTTCTTCTTTTCTTTTTTATTCCATTTCTGTGAAGTTTCACCACTGTTTCAAGTCCTTCTTTATTTGGAGATAATGGCTCACACTGTAGTTCGCTGGAGTCACAGAGCTTTAGAAATGCCTACGTTCCCCTTTCCAGAAATATTTCAAAAGGTTTCTTTTCTCTTCCAGAAAATCTTTTGATTGTGGCGTAGAGTGCAGCTCATTGAGATCTTTTAGCCTAATTCACACTGTTGAAAACGTCCCTTTTAAGTGATGTTTAGATTCAAAAGGGCCTGCAGTAATCAGGGTCTGTGTATCTTTTGGTCATTCGATTTTCTTTCAAATCCAGCATTGAAAAATGGGAAAATGGGTCAATTCTCTTGGGTTTTGGTTGTGTTATTATCAGTGGACAAATCAAGAAATAGCTTAATTTTACAATTTCACAAACTAATTATAAAACAAAAACAAACAACAATGGAATAAAGGGTTTTTTATTTTATTTAGCCAAATTTTAAATTTTCTATCTGAACTGGAAATAAATGTGGCATTTATGGTCGCAGGAGCTCAGAAATCAGAAATCACTGCGAGACTCTGTGTTGGGCTTTAGCAGTGGTGGACGAAGTACACAAACCATGTACCTGAGTTAAAGTAGAGAGACCCAAGGTAAAATATCACTCCAGTAAAAGTAGAAGTTCCTCCCTTTAGACCTCCACTTGAGTAAAAGTACAAAAGTGTTTGCCTTCAAATGTACTTAAGTATCAAAAGTAAAAGTACTAAAAGATTAATTATGACTCTAATGTCCTATTATTATTTTTGTAACAAGACTGCTTTATCAGCTCATTTTAGGTGAAAATACTCCAGTGTCACTCTTGGTAAACCAGTCTTTTAATAGAATGTCATTAATTAGTGACGCTGATGTCTATTAAAATTATCATAAGCACAAAACACTGAAGGCAAACAGTTTCCAGGTAGAACTGAGTGGCCATGAAATAACTTCTTGCAAACAAGCAAAGTTTCAGTTTAAGATTTATTTGCAACTTAGTTACAAGTTTAAGTTTAATAAAAACTTTAATCACAGGTTCACAAATGAGTTTTCCTTTACTAAACTGCATCTGTAGGTCTCTGTTCATAAACATAAACTAGCCAAAACAAATTTACTATAAAATGAAAGTGTTTGTATAAATTCAGAAAAAAGACACGTCAGTCACAACTGCATATGTACATATTTCTATATTGTGGTCTATTTACACAAAGTTAGGTTAGTTCCATCATTTATGTTGAATAGACTCTCCCAAAATTTTATGCTGCTACATTGACGTTGAACCGTGTGCTGCACTGGGTCGGTATGACCAACAGGTCAAAACAAGCTCAAAACAAGGTGCGCTGTGCCCTGATTGGTGTTCTTGCGCTTCTTTCGTTTTGTCATGTTATGTTTTTATACACACATAAACCAAAAGGAACATCAGATTTCTCATAATGTAGTGGAGTAAAAAGTGAGATATTTGACTTTGAAATGTTGTGGAGTGAAAGTAAAAAGTCACCCAAAATGGAAAAACTTCAGTAAAGTACAGATACACAAAAACTACTTAAGTACAGTAACGAATTACATTCACTTCGGTACTGTCCACCACTGGGCTTTAGGTCCAGTTGTGCTGTTTGTTGTGAATGAAAAGTGAGGGTTAACCATTATTTACACACAGAAACAACCAAAATCGCGAGTGTAATCTGTAGTGTCAATTTGCAGGTGCACGTGAAAGAGAGTCAGTTCTGCACAACCCTGTGATTTCTGAGTTTCTGACACCATGCGTGCACTCTGCACGTCTATTTCCGGTTAAGGCGATATAATTTTTGTATTTGGATAAATAAAATGCAACTCTTTATTCCTTCATTGTTTGTTTGTTATTTGATTTTTTGATTAGTTTGTGAAACTTTAAAGCAAAGCTGTTTCTTATTTTTTCAAGTCACAATAATAGAACCAAAAATGAGAACTGACCCATTTTTCATTTTTTCAATGCTGGTTTTGAAATGAAAATTGAATGATCAAAAGATACACAGACCAATCAGGCCTGGGTGTGTCTAGTTTAAGTGATCCTAGTTGATGTTAGATCATTTTTTTCCTTGCATGCCTCAGAGAAGGTCCTCAACCCACCCCCCCACCATTTTCAATCCAAATTTAAGCCGTTCAGCAGAGGCATTGAAAACGTTGGCTTTATTTCAGTTGGTTTTATGTTGATGGACAGAGGTTTATGTAGTGCATTTTTATTAAAAAGAGCCTCCCAAGACTGTTCCCGTTCTTCCAGAGTTTCCAGCACCTTCAGCAGTGTTGAGGAGGAGAAAGAGAGAGTGGGTGATTCCACCAATAAACATCCAAGAGAATGACAGAGGACCTTTCCCCAAACACTTGATTAAAGTATGTGCACTTGACCTCTAATTTAAGCTGAAATCCTTCAATAGGTACCAATGTTAATTTGTACTAAATAGTCTCATCTGTGTCCAGATCAAGTCCAGTTATGCTAAGGAAGTTAAGGTGGTGTACAGCATCACTGGTGAAGGAGCTGACCAGGATCCAAAAGGACTTTTCACTGTAAAAAGAAACGATGGCTCGCTCTATGTAACAAGGACACTAGACAGAGAGGCCAAAGATAAATATGTGGTAAGAGACTTTGGTTCTGCTGTCAGAGTTATCATGTTACTATGAACACACTAAAAAATATTATAACATAAGGAGAATCTGTCCTGCCTCTATTTAACATGGTTTGTATTTCTCTGCATTCTCCAGCTTCAAGCTCATGCTATTGCAGTTGATGGTGAGGATCAGGAAGATCCCATGGAGATTATTGTCTATGTAATTGATATGAATGATAACACGCCTGTCTTCACCCAAGATCCTTTCCTTGGCAGTGTTCCAGTAGCTTCAGCAATAGGTAGCTATATTAGTTGTGTATGTGTTTGATAAGGCAAATAATTATTATGGCTTTCAATGCTGATTCTCTGTTTTGCAACATTTAATAGTCTTCATTACTCTCTGTCTGAAGGATTTGAGTTCATGACGGTCACAGCTGCTGACACAGATGACCCCAACACTGACAATGCTGATGTCAGATACTCCATCATCAGTCAGAATCCACAACAGCCAGATCCAGTCATGTTCGTCATTAATCCTGTAACTGGAGCGATTCGAGTGAATGCTGTAGGACTGGACAGAGAGGTGATAATAATAACAATAATAATTATGATAATAATAATGAGCTGTCTTCACAGCAGGGCAGGCTACACTCTACTTGACAGGATGAGGAGCTCAAAGTAGAGCCACTACTCCTCCACTTTGCGAAGAGTTGAGGTGGTTCGGGCATCTGATTAGGATGGCTCAGCCGTCTGGGACGAGACCCCGAGGTTGTCTGAGAGGCTCAGCCGACTGGGATGAGACTCCGAGGTCGTCTGAGAACCTGCTAGAGGGATTATTTCTCCATGAAAAGTATCCTAGCTTGGGGGACAAACTCTGCTCCCATGTCCCATTCCAAGTCCCCAGCTTGCAGCCTAGTCAAACTCCACTGTGATGGTTTAAAGTCTCTGCCTAATGGTTCAGTCAAACCCCACTACTGCGGTGAAAAGTGTCCCAGCTCGCAGGCTAATCAAACTCCTCTACCATGATGCAAAGGCGCTCAGCCATGTTGATGGGCATATATTTGTGTATTGCATTTTTATTTTAAAAAAAGAGCCGTACCAGACTGTTCCAGCTTTGAAGTTCATTGAATCTCCAGGAGGATTGAGGAGGAGCAAGAGGGAGCAGGTGATTCTGTCGTTCCCAAAGAATAACACAGGACCTTTCCCTAAACAGATGGTGCATATGTGTGCAGTTAACCTCTAATTTAAACTGGAATCTCGTATCTCCATTTTTGTCGTTTTTCAGTTTGTGACATAATTTGAAAATACTTTTTGCCCTTTACATTGATTGTAAATTTCATCATGAATAGACCAAAACAAACGGCCCAAAATGACTTGGAAAAAATTCTGGTTCCATTGACTTACATTAAAAGTAGGCTTTTTCCTTCTCCTGTGAAGTTACCATTTTGGAGATACAAGGTTTTCTTCCGACAACAGCGCTATGTCAAAGTCACTTGGCCAGTTCTCAGTCAACACTGGAAAAAACTCCTTTGCCAGTGGGAAGAAGAACAAAAACAAATCACAAATATACCGCAAACTAAACAAAATTTATGATTGTTAAATTGATGTGGAATCTTAAACCTCATCTCTTACAGAAATATCCTGAATACACATTGAAGATTACTGCTGGAGATATGCAGGGTAAAGGACGCGTAGGCACTGGAACAGCAGTTATTACTATAACAGACAGCAACGACCACGCGCCCCAGTTTGAAAAGACGCTGGTAAGGCAGGTAACAGTTATGGATTAATCTGTTGTCTACATTTTCCCACAGTTTGCAAAAGGATTTTATTTGTGAAAGTTGAAATCTGCTTTGAGGAGATCTAGTCCAGAAAGTCATTCTCAAATATATATTGTTTTTAAAATCAGTGAAAGTGGTTACTGATTGTGTTACTGTATTTATGTAAACACTGTTTGTCGTTCAGTACAGTGTGTCTGTCCCAGAAAATGAAGTTGGAGCTGTGGTGGTGAAGCTGCCAGTGACTGATGAAGATGAACCTCAGTCTCCTGCCTGGACAGCCAAGTTCAGGATCATTAGTGGTAACAATGGTGGATTTTTCGCCGTTAACACAGGACCAGACAAACAGGAGGGCATCATCACTACTGTTAAGGTAATTCAATTTCTGACTGGTTTGTCAGTCTAATCTGCTGTTAGTGTTGTTGTTTTTTTATTAAATACCTCCGTTCATTTTCTTTTTTGGGTTTTCTTTGTTGTCCATTTAGCCATTGGACTTTGAGCAGAACAGCAAGTTCACTCTGTTGGTGGTTGTGGAGAACGATGTTCCATTTGCCAAACCCCTGACCACTTCCACTGCCACGGTCACTGTGAATGTTCTTGATGTGAACGACGCTCCAGTGTTTGACCCAGAGGAGAAAATCATTTCCAAACGTGAAGACGTGGCGGTTGGTAGTGAACTAATAATGTACACTGCAACTGATCCAGACACAGCGAGGACTCAGAAAGTGACGTAAGAACCTGTAAAAATAATATTATCCAAAGGGATTAGGTAGGTCAAAGGCCTATATTGTTCCCTGACCCTCTGTTTTATTGTCCATCTTTCACATGGACACATAATGGCACCGTTCTAATCTTTATTTGTAGTGTCACATCAGTACATTTGAAGATCTTTCTAAGCTCCTTCATATGAGTTCTGCCGGAGTTCCAGTCTGTGTTGTATTTCTTCAATTCTATACCTTTTCTTTTTAATAAGTGCTCCAAGCTGTCCACCACTTGTATATCTGCAGTGTCAGTATTAAAGTTATAACATTTATATATATAGAACAGAGTATGTGCTGTATATGGTTCTATATACAACCTTTTTGAAAATTGTTCCAATAGAACCAAAATGGGTTCTTGTATTCTAACAAGCTTGACATTGTAAAAATAGCAGAACGTTTTTTGGTGTCATATAGAACCAGTTTGAAAAAAAAGGTCTATATAGAGCTATTACAGCACGTTCTCTATCAATCTGAAGAACATTTTCATGATGCAAAGAGCCCTTTAATCATGCAAAGGGGTCTTTGAGTGTTCATGGTTCTACACAGAACCATTTTCTTTACCAAAGGACCTTTGAAAAAACATCATTTTTAGGGGGTAGGATGAGTTTAAATAGTATTAGAAAATGTTAGTGTCCGTTTAAAGGGGAAGATAATGTCAGTGACTCAGCTGGAACTGGTTGGTTTTGAGATTGGAAGAAAAAAAGAGTTGAATTGGCAGTAAGTGCACAAAAAAGAGCAGATGAATCAAAAAAAGAGGGAAGTTTTTGTGGGGGAAAAAAAGAAAGCAATGAGTGAACAGAACAGGTGTGTTTTAAGTTTTGATTTGAAAGCGATGAAAACAAGATATTTTACATAAACATGACAGTGAAAGTTTTTGCTTTGCTTCATAATGTGTGTTTATGTTTAGCTATCAATGTTTTTCTCTAATTGATAACCATTTTCAACTTGTAGATTCTTTTTGGATTTTTTTTATTGTTTAATGTGTTTCCAACATCTTGACTCTGATTTCTTTTGTTTTCCCTCTGATCAAACTGCAGGTACCGTGTAGGTTCTGATCCTGCTGGATGGCTGAGAGTTGATGGAGAGACCGGACTGGTCAAAGTGAGGAGCCCCATGGACAGAGAGTCTCCTTTTGTGAAAAATTATAAATACAAAGCTCTGATATTAGCCATGGATGACGGTAACTCCTTCTCCTTGTGCTTTATTTGAAGGAGACTGAGGTGTAGCTTCTCCTAACAGGCTTTTACATGTTCATGACTGCAGATCCAGTTCCAGCTACCGGTACAGGAACTCTTGCGATTGAGTTGGAGGATGTGAATGATAACGCTCCCACTATTGAAGAGAAGATGATCAGAGTGTGCAATAAGCAGTCAGCTCTAGTTCTGTTGTCTGTGACGGATAAAGACGGGCCTGGCTTCGCTGCTCCGTACAGAGTGGAACTCCGAGGAGACAGCAGGAACCCTTAGGAGACAAGATGAGACTAACATAATCAAAAATAAGCATGGATAAAATTGAATGTATCCAGTTATAGATTTCTGAGATGTAGAGTCTACATAAATGTAAATATTGTTTAGCTAAGACTGGGGTGAAATGTATATGGCAGTGTAGCGCACAGCTTTTTATTTAACGTATTGGGGAAAAAATAAAAATGACAATGTTTCCAGTCTGTTAAATTCATCAGATTAAAAATATTGTCTTATAAATTATAAGGAAACCTACTTCTCAGCACTGTTTTATAACAGTGTATGTTTTTGATACGAATACTCTGTAGCTAATTTCACTATGCTGCATTTTTTCAAACCTGTTCTGAACATTTATTTGCAAAATTCACAAATTATGTTTTTCTAATACGCTAGTAAATTGACATTGCGTTAATCCTTTAGTTTATTTACAGACAACACCGCTGAAATTATAAATCAGACAGATGTTTAAATATGTAGAAATGTATTATTTGTACAAATCAACTTATATTTGAATTATTAATAAATGAAAATTCAGTTCATTTACTAAAATCACCTTGTCAAAGACATTTAATTTACATAAATAATAATAATAATAATAATAATAATAGTAAATATCTAAAATGATGATGTATACAAAAAACCTGTGTTTGTATGCAATAATACACATGTAAGCTTAGACCGCTCATTTCTCACCAAGCTGAATGTATGTTTGTATCACTTTTGATGTACTTTGAAAATAACAAAGAGCATAAATCAAAAGAAGTTGTTTGATGTTCACTTATTTCTAATTTAAGAGGGTGGAGCTCTTCAACAGCTGCTTAAGTGCGAAGAGTGTTCTTGTTTCTGAATGTGATTATCAACTCTAAACTGTAAAACTAAACAGGAGAATTCAAAAGACAGCAGTGCACCAGCTTTAGTGCATTTCACACAGAATAGAGGGAGTTTAGTGTGAGTCCTGCTGAACCAGGCAGTGAGATGAACTGATCTTATCAGGAGAAAAGCGACAGCCTGGTTGAGCCAGCCAGTGGAGCTAATCCCAAAACTTTTTAATTAGATGTTTAAAATATATTGTAATTAAACTGTAACTATATTTCAAATACAACTACTTTATTTGACTATATTAATAGAAATATCGAATGGGTTGATTTCCACCGACAGGCCACCAAAAAAGGGTTAAAAAAAATACTTAATTGGCCATTTCAAGCATGGTAGCTTGCAAAAAAAGGATTTTTCTTAATAGATGTTTCAAAAGGTGGAATAATACATTCTGACATGAGTTTAGTTCTTTAAAGCACAAAACTACACTCAGAGTTTATCTCAGGAGGCATCAAGGATAAGACAGATTAGCACAGTATGAAATGCAGGGTCTGAGAAAAGAGCATGATCTCTGATGTCTGCACTGATGACTACAAATAAGTGCAAAGCTGAAATTACCAAATCTTTTCTGTTTAGACCCAACTGTGGACGGATTAACGTCCTGACGATAAGAGAAGCAGGAAATTACTAATGCTACATTTTAAAACCACAAACACAGTAACACGAAAAGTCAACAGTTATGCGGACCCTTAGGAGATTCTAGTTGGGGGTAAGGATTATAATTTATAAGCACAACAAACCAGGATATTGTCAACCCTGCTGAATAAAAATGGCACTGACCAGCATGCTGGTCTAATGGTGGTCCATCTGGTCACTCAGCACAGTCACGCTGGTTAACCAACATCAAAAACACATGATGGCTTTAGCTGTGACCAGTTATGCCAGTCTATGCTATTTTTTCTAGCAGGAACATAAAAAAAATTGTAAATTATCCTCATGAGGCACCTCAAATACACTGACACTCACACACAAAGTGTGTTCTCTGTAGAGAATGTGTTTTCTTATTTTCACTTAGTGGGGAACAAAAACAAAACATAATTTGACTGTAAGACTACACGCAGCTTCCTGAGACTTCTGGGCCCTGTCAATCTTTATGAAATAGTTCATCAAGACTTTTATTTTGTCCAAACAAATGGTTTTAGCAATTTTATTTTCACAAAAGGAAGCTTTAACAACATGGCAAAATAAACTATGCATTCCTAAGAACAAGGAAAATGTGCTTTGTGTTTATTTAGGTTCTTACATACAGGCATGTCAAACACGTTCACTTCAAACGTGGCCTAACATTGGGTGACACCTAGTGGCCTTTTAGTCCTTCTGTAGCTCTATTAATGATCAGATCTCATTTCAAGCAATTAAATAATAGAGTTTCATTATTATACATACCCAGCATGGTTGTTCTATGAGCTGCTCAATTCAAACTTTTTGACACTTTTGATTTTTGAGACAAAACTGTATTAGAGAAATGCATATTTGCTTCTGTTTAGCTCATTTATTTTCGAAATTCTGCTGATGTGTAAAGTGTACAGGATCTACAGACAGCATAGGCAAACACACCTTATGAAACTGTGCAGATGATGTACCAACAAATAAAACATCTGTTTCAGACTTTTAGCTGTGGAAGGACATCCTGACACTGTTACTGTATCCTCCATTTCGTACTCTGTCTTACAAGGAATTCCATCAATTTTTCACAATTTTTGCATTATTTAAACGAGACTGTTAAAGTCACAGTGGTGGTGAATGGAACCAGACATCTGAAGAGTTTAATGCTTCTAAAAGCTCCCTTAAAGAAAGTTATTACATGAAATGGTTTTGAATACGCTGCCTTTTGCAGAGACTGTCTCCTGATTATCTTAAAATGGTTTTGGCCCAAAATATATTTTTCAAAATTTATTCATGGTGGACAGGACATGCAGGGCACTTTAAGGCAAAATATCAAAAGAAAATATATCATTAACATTACATATAAAAACTCAGAAGAAACATGTGGATTTACTGGTGAGTTTGGATAGAAAATAAAATGGCTATATTTGCGTTGCAGAAATTTTGGAAAATCGGTGGAGTTCCCCTTTAAGTATTCTGGATTGCACTGTATATGATTTTATACATACAAAAAAGCAGCAAAGCGTTACTCAAGCAAGTGCAAACATGTTATCAGCTATGTGTTACTGTTCCTTCTTTTGCTCCTTACGAGTTCTGTGACTGTTTGTCAAACGGTGCTCATGATACAGTGTAGAGAGAACAACCTCTTGAAGGAACTGCATCAGGAACACTGACACAAAATACTTTCTTCAAAAAAGCTGAATGTGCAGTGTAGCAGGTGCGTCAGTCTAGAGAAGAGCATGAATGTAACAAACTGCAGTCAAGAGGGCTCAGAGTTTCTCCCACAGAAGGATGGCTGGACAATGAACTGGTCAGGTCACACGGGTCTGGTAGAAAGGCACTGGTTGACCACTTCCAGCAGCTGTGAGTTTTCCAGCGCTGCAGCCACTCTCTCCTTATCCGCTAACTGCTTATTGACTGAAAAAGAGAGAGTGAGAAGACAGCAAAGTCAAACGATGCCAGCCAAGTGAATTCTGCTCTGAAATATAGTAGTGAACAAAGGGGAATTCCATCATTTTTCAACATTTCTGCATAATTCAATCTTTGCGATTCAGAGTGGGTTGATGTCAAATGATGCACTATAGAAAAAATTTACTCCGATATGGTTATGAGAACCAGAGGTCACACAAATTTATATCATGGTATAATTAAGATTACATACAGTTTCAGTATATATCAAGGTATAGTGTATTTATACACATAAATACACTAACCTTTTTTTAGATTAACAGTGGCATTTTATTCTGAATGTCCCTTCACTTTTAATAAGAATCATATTTAACAACTTAAGTAAAATTGCAATAATTTTATTGGGTGGAATAGTACAAATGGAAATGAACAATACACAGACAGATGCCAATATTGCTTTCTAATCCTAACGAGATAAAGGGGAGTGTATGTAAAGCCCACAGTGGCTTCTCTGAGTGTAGCAAAAACAAGACGAAACTGAAGTCAGCTTCTTATTCACCAGCTTATTGTTCGTATAGCCGGCTAGTCTCCATGCTAGGCTAATGGCTAACAGCAAACACCAGGAGGCCCACTTATTAACTCATTACAAACTGATGTCTGCCCCTCTGAAAATAAACTGGACTAACTCTGGATGCAGCTAACTACATGAGAGGTGATGGAATCAACCAGTTATATTCTATTTGTACGTTGCTTTATCTGCATTTATGTAAACGTTATGTTAAACAGTAATGACAAAACTAATACCTTAAAAAGAATTTCATCCAGTAAATCACCCAGTACTAATTATAGAGCTAACAATGAAATGAAAAATGAGTTTTGTTATATTAGTAACGTAACAAGAGCTCAACAGGCTGCTCTGGCAGCGGGCTTAGTGGGGGTAGGGGTGGGGGTTTTGTCTCCTGGAACCACAACACAAGACCGTAAACATTTTTATCACAGTTTTGGTCTCGGTTAAAGAATGGGTACGCACCTAGGGTTTATATATCAACACTCATACATTTTTACATGACCATTTTCCAACCTCTCTCTATCCTGTGAAATAAACAGGCTGATGTCTTTAGGACTAAAAAATATAAATACATCAGAGCTGACTGGCTGCTTGTATTGCACCTCATTCAATAAACAGCCTGGAGCTGCAATACTGCTTATAACTTCAGTGTGAATGGGCAGGGCTTGACTGTTGTAGGCTGAATAGGAAGATTCATATCACATTACAAAAACACTGAATTCAGCTTAGCTTTTTTTATATGGGCTGTACAGACTGGGGAGTGAAGTATAAGTTTTAGCAAAACTGGCAATGCTTACACACTTATTCACTCTTATTTAGTGAGGTAATGTTGGTGTGCCATGATATGTGCCCTTTAAATGCTTCAGATGTCTGGTTCCTATCTCCACCACTGTGAACAATTTTGACTCTTGAAGTTTCTCTAGAACAGAGCATTTCATACCAAACTACCCTGGATGACTTTGAATTATGCAGAACCTTTGGATTTCTCCTTTAAATGCTCCTTAGTAGCTTATTGTACTTTGGAAAACCCTGAAATTTCAAGACCAAACATATTTAAACATTTATTTATAACAAGTAGCCTTGTTAAAGTTAACTATTTACAACCACCAGTGGTTTAAACTGTTACTAAGAGGAATACATGTCAGGGTAGGAGTGGGGGTACAGTCTAAAAGAGCATAAAACTTAAAGCAGAAACATTTTTATACTAATTGTTGGTTCATTAGTTACTAGACTGACAAGACAGTGACAGCTTACCTGCATCCTCTGAGGCATGTGTGCCTGGCGTGATGTGGACATCAATCTGAAAGCATAGACAGCATATGAAGATGAGAATATCACCAAAACAACAGCAGAGACGAGTCAGAATCGTCAAATATTCTAATAGTTATGATATGCAAATGAGCTCGTCTCTAACATTATTCATTCTCATCAGAACCATGAGATATCTGAGCTCTATGGTCCATAAGAATTTCTTATCTGTTTAGTTCAATGGCGGCCGGGCGGTGGAGGGTCATTCGAATATTTTTCGAATAATGTCTTAAAAATTTGGATATCAAATTTGATTAAAATGCCTATCCAAAAGAATATCAACAACAAAACACTGACATCAAAACCTGACTACGCAAAAAAACAAAGCACAGACACAAAACACACCTTGAACCTGTCTGGTAAAGAGCGCAGCAGTTTGACTTTGATTGACAGCCCTATGAGAGTAGCCATGCTGCAGTGAGGGATGGTGGGCGTGAACTCCACAGAGACCGTGCTCTCCTGGTCATTCACCTGAAGATCAGAAGAAATTAGTTTCTTTGGAAACATGCTTGTTTTGAATACTTAAAAAAGCATTGATGTAAAGCAACTTTTAGGCTTTTACTTTAAAATAACTGGTCAAAAGGAATCTTGTAAACTGAATAGACTCACATTTACGCGCATTTGCTCCACGACATTCAGCTCCTCAAGGGACAGAGGGTGCTCAGGGTCATTGATTGACCTAATAAGATGTGATCATGAGGTCAAGGTGTAAAAAATAAGCTATGTTACAGAGACAAGACATTGATTGCATTTGGTAGATGTTTCCTTATCCTATTCCTGGACTCTCTACTGCACATTTTAGTGTAATTTGGCCCTAAGAGTCTCACTTTAACCTCATTAAGAGCTTGATAGTGGGCTGATTAGTTGAGTTACGTGTATTAGAGAAGCAAAACATGAAATGATTCAGTGCAAGAAAACTGTCTCACTCTCCTGCTCTGCACTATACAAACATAAATCCATATACACACACACACACACACACACATACATACATATACATATACATATATATATATATACTATATATATATATATATATACACACACACATACATAAACAAACACACACACACATACACACATACATGTGTGTGTGTGTGTGTGGGTGTGTGTGTATAAACACATTCACAAACTTGAATGTCACAAGGGTTCTGCTGTTGGTACGATGTCAAGCTTGTAATAGTAGAGGAACCCTTTTTGGCTCTGTTTAGAACCATTGTCAAACAGGTCCTATACAGAACCATATACAACCCACACTATATCAATCTGAACAACCATTTCATCATGCAAAAAGCCACTTAAACATGTAAATGGCTCTATATAGAAATCATGGTTCTAAAAAGAACCATTTCCTTTACTAAACACACTTGAAGAACCATCCTTTTTAAGTGTGTAGCTGACTAGCTGCTGGCGGAAACGCACTCCATAAGCTATAATAAAGACAAGGCCTGAACTGGCTTCCTATTCGCCAGCTTCTGGGTCGAATGTTCCCGTTCCACCTTAAATGAAGCTGCAGTTACATTCTGGCCAGGCGCCAGAATGTAACTGCTGCGCCGTTTAAGGTGGAACGGGGAAATTCGAACCAGAAGCTGGGGAATTGGAATCCAACTCCAGCTTGGTATAATAAAGGCTTCGCTAAGCGGGTTAACCGTCACGCCGCCAGAAGCAGCTCCGCTTTATTCTGTATTTTAAAGGATATCGAAGATCTCCCTGTCGTCGATGGGGTCGGCCACGTCCTCGTCCTCCTCCCCGGCTGTGAGGAGTCGCTCTCCGGCCCGCTGGAAAATGAGCGGGTTGGCGTTCTCTAACCGCGCTGCTGTAGCGGACATGCTGCCCAGACCTGGCGCTCTCTAACCGGCTTACCGCGCTGAGGGCTCCGCTGGGGTAGCGCTCCGTCCTCCAGTGAGGCTTTACTTTATGGAGTAAAACCACCACAAACTACAAGAACTACACAAACTACAGTGAAGTACAGAGGAATATCGGCTCAGCAAAGACCGCGACACCAACTACTGCTTATAGGAAGTTTTGAAGAAATTCTTTTCAAAATAAAAGTCCGAAGCTCCCTGACTCATTCAAGACATCCCTGTCAAATAACTATAACGTAAGGATTTTCGTCTCGAAACCACGTTTTTATCCACCATATTTTCAATCACACATTACAAATAGATCTTCACGTCATACAGTTATTTTGTTATGCCGAATAACACTGAGTTTAAATTACAGTATAACTTCTTCCGTAGCATAATGTTCATTAGCAAAACTGTAAAAACTTTCATGTCATTCTGTAATATTCTATGTAATAATAAGTTATATGATGTAACATATATTAACTATTATAATAATATTATGATATTATATAATAATATGATATATTACGATAATAGTAGTTATTATAAGTCTATTCAAATCTATATATCTATAGATATTCATATCTGCATGTGTACAGATATTCACACATCTCTTTAGCTCATTTCACATTAGTCCTTTATTACTCTACTCTATTTATTGTATTTTTATTTTCTTTGTCCCTTAGTTAGATGCTTGTTAATAGGCTGTGTGCTTGTCTGGTCTGTTTAGTATGTTACATGCAAGGTGCGAAACAGGACCCCCAAATTAACCTCTTTGACTCCCTGAATGTCTCAAAATTAAAATTCTGGGGGGTCCCTGAAAAATAGCTTAGGATGATGTTATGCTGTCCATTAGGGAAAAATAGACACTCGGATACAAATTCAGTGAAAGCTCATTGTTTAGCTGCTTCACCCATAATCAGTGAGCTTCTGTCTTTGGTGTTGTTAACTAGAGCTGCAGCACTGCTCTGCCTTAGGATGGCGCTGTAGCAGACAGGTTCACCCAGTTGGTCCTTCATAGCCTAGCAACTGTAACTATGCCCAGGATAGCTCTGAAAAACTGCAATATGCCACAGCATATTTGTAAATCTGAAAACTCACCCAGTTTTCCAAGAGTTTGGTGGAAAGAGTCAACTGCTACTAATTTCTCAATTAGAGGGCAAAAGAGCAGATGTGTAAGATCTCAGTTAATGTGTGAAAGAATACCAAACTAGAAAAGAGCATTTCCAGAAGAAGAACTATTGAACCAAACATTTTTTTTTTTGCCATTGAAGCATTAGTGCTGCTGTGTTGAGTGAGTTAGCAGCCAGCCAACACTGGCCAACATGGGAACGAATACCAGAGGGTATTTCACACACTGGTTACATGTCATACATGTGTGCATTCACCAACAGGTTCCGTGTGTAACACACTTGGCAAAATAAAGCGATTCTCATTCTGATTCTGATACGCAAGTACAGTGTATGTATAAGTATATCTATGTATTGGTTGTGGACAAGGACAGAGAAACTAACAAAATGTTTAATACAGAATACAAGCCAAACTTTCCAGCTTTTGGTCCAGGCTCTTTTGAAAGCTCATGTTTTAAAAACTTATAATCTCATATTTAATCATAAAACTATGTACAGTAAGTGACAGTACAGAGTTTATATGGTTAAATAAATTGGTGTGGAGGGGGAGGCAGATAATGATTATGTTTCTGTTAAAATGAATGGTTTTATTTTAAGCTGATGTAAGTAGTGCTAATGTGGAAACAGATACATTTAATCATGGCAAATGTTTAAATTTAATAGAAATTTTTATTTAGTAAACGAAACTTCAATGTTTTTTTACACAGATATGCAAAAATATGTATATAAAAACATACCTTAAAATAAAGAACTTTGAATTCATATATTTGAGAGTGAAAAGCATTTTTAGCTCATCTTTGAATGTTTTGGACTCATGGCCATCATTTGCGGAGATTCCTGGATTGTGATGGATGATACATTAAAATTGTAAATATATTTGCATGTCAAATATTTATTTATAACAAAAAAAAGATGTAAGGTCGGTCAGTTTGGATGCTTCCAGGTGAGAAAGTAAAGAAACAGTCCCAACTCATTCTTGTGCTGTTAAAAAGTTAAAAATGTTGTTGACTAAACTACTAAAGTCCAAGTCCAGACTGAGACCAGATTAAGAATTTTTCAAAATATTAAAATAAAATGAAGAGAAAAACTGAAATGTATTTATTTGTCATTATACATGATCTGTAGTAATAAATAACAATGTAGTATTATTAATTTTTAAATGTAACAAATAATATTTTGTCTATATATATTATTAATTATTATTATGTTATTGTCTTAGTCCAACTTTGCATTGTACCTTTCGGAAGCAGATAATGTTGAGGTTCTTCTCTGTCTTTTCTTCTGATTCAGAATCACCACCTAAAGTCAAGTAAATATAAACCAAACACCATACAAACAACATCCATCTACCATCCATATTCATCATTAAATAAAAAACATTACCATCTGCCCTCAGAGAATGTTTGAATTTTGGAACCAATAAACATCAGCAAACATATAAAACCCTGTTCAGCCACCATGAAAATATCAATTAGATCCTCAACCAGATAGAAAAAAACTCAGTTTCTAATCAGCTCAGACGGAGGCATCACACTCAGCTGGTCTCGAGAGCAATTTCTACATTACTCCGAGACCGAGACAAGACCAAGACCGTTACTTTATGGCCTCGAGACCAGATTCAAGAACTATAACACAATATACAGCATTACTGTGAGGAAAACAACCGTTTTTCTTTTATTCTGTGTTCCATCCACTGCAAAATATAGTGGGCCTACAGTCATCAGCTCTGCTCCTGAAGATCTGCAGCCCTTGTACCTTTAACCCTGATCTGACACACCTGATCCAGGTACTTATTATCTTCAGAAGGCCTTGGTCACCTGGATGAGGTGAGTAAGATTTGGGTTGGAGGTTAAACTTCATAAAAAGTCGATAAAAAGGAATTACCATTATTAATACGTTTTACCTTTTCATGCGTATGAAAGTTTCCCAGCAGCCTTTGGTTTCATAGGGCTCCTGTTGGCTAATTTGGTCTTTCCCAGAGCACAAGTAAAATTTCCATAAATGAATTTCAGTCAAACTACTCAGTCAGCTTGATTAATTGCAGTAAATGACCCAACCCAAAAAGATTGATTGGTGTCATGTATGTATAATTTATGGTCACTTGTCCAGGACTGTAAGTGTGGGTTATTGTGCACAATGACGAGGGAGCGGCAGCTCACACCTTTACATTGTGCAGCATGTTGTGTTATTAACCTTATCACAGATAGTGGGGGCAACGTGCTGTAAGAGGTTGGCCTGAGTCACTGTTTAAATCAGAAATCCACCCCATACATCTATTTTATATATATATATATATATATATATATATATATATATATATATATTATATATATATATATATATATATATATAATTCCGGTCAAACAAACTCTTTGACTTCATTCATTTCTGCTAGCTCTGAACCATGAACACTTAAAGAACTGTTTGCATGATTAAAGGGTTCTTTGCATCATGAAATCATGAAAAGGTTCTTCTGAGTGATGTAGAATGTGCTGTAGATAGTTCTATATAAAACTTTTTTGAAAAATGGTTCTATATAACACCAAATAGGGTTCTTTTATTGCTATGGTGTCAAGCTAGTAACAATAGAAGAACCCTGGTGGGTGCTATATAGAACCCTTTTCAAAATGTTCTATATAGAACTGTCTATAGCACATTCATACACATTTTGCATCAATCCAAAGAACTCTTTCATGATGCAAAGAACCCTTTAATCATGCAATGGGTTCTTTGGGTGTTCATAGTTCTACATAGAACCATTTTTTACTAAAGAACTCTTGAAGAACCATCTTTGTTAAGACTGTTGGTGAAGAAGCTAGGACTCTTGTCTGGAGCAGGATATAGCTGTTTAAAGTGGAGTAAAAGTTTGAGTGTCAATCAAATAAAGTAGAAAAACTCAAAAATAGTACACTCTTAAAAATGAAGGCCCCTTTTCAGAGGAACAATAGAAGAAAGGCCATTGAAGAACCACTTTTTAATGGATAGTTAATCTCATAAACTCAGAGTTTCCCCAACTTGGATTAAGCCTAGTCTTTAACTAAATTACAGTGCCAATGGTCTAGGCTTAGGCTTCATCCAGGTCTGGGTAACTGAAAATGAAATTAACCTTTTAGCCAACTGTGTCTGAACACATTGGAATTAGACCTCCGCATTTTACCCATCCGTGCAGTGAAACACCACATACACACTAGTGAACACACACACACTAGGGAGCAGTGAGCACACTTGCCCAGAGCAGTGGGCAGCCCTATCCATGGCACCCAGGGAGCAGTTGGGGGTTAGGTGCCTTGCTCAAGGGCACTTCAGTCACGCACTGTCAGCTGAGGGGATCAAACTGGCGACCCTCCGGTCACAAGGCTGGTTCCCTAACCTCCAGCCGACTGTCACTTTTATTACATTCGTGCAAGCGAGTAAAAGTCCTGAATTATAGGAGTGAAAAATGGGCTGGCCAGTGGTTTCCGTGGAGTTTAAGATGGTAAAGAGCTATTTTTGTAAATGAGATGTCCTGTCTTAACCCTCTGGGGCCTGAGGACATTTCTCTATCTGTCCACATCTTCTTAAATTCTCTCCTTTAAAGGTTCCTCATATAACATGATTCTCATACGCTTCATATCCAAATGCTCCGATATCTTCATCACCACTTTCCAAAACCAACTTCAGCAGCTGTAAACTCCCTGCATACTGTTTCACGTGTCTCCGATGTGGACTGAATGAAGAATGAAGGGTTTCCAGCATGATGGTCAGTCCTTTAGTGATTTCCTGAGTGTCCATTGGTCAGTTTCACACTAAATGTAGATGAACACACAAGTCCACCAGTTCCACACGGAGAGAGGCACATGACGTGTACCTCAGCCCCTCTTCATAGGCTCATAACTCCGGAGTCACGTACGATCTTGTGGTAAGATGGAATGGAAAGGGCGACTCTACAGATTCAGAAAATGTTTGAACTGGATTTCTGTGCTGGATCATCACAAAGACACAGAAACAGATATAGGAACATCAAAACTGACACACAGGTGAGCTCATGGATCCCA